TATCAAAATCGAATGAAATATAAACCAGTGGTTCTAAATATGGTAATTGTGTTTGAGCGAAATACTCTTAGCGTCACCAACGACGGGTTAATTTGTAAATACTGGGCTCGAAGAAATCTATAAATAGTTATTAGGTATCAAATATTTCCGATTTTCTATTCTTATTACTTAAATGTTTTGAGATGGACTGATTAACACTGGGGTGTGGAATGACAAAAATAACCAAAATTCAACTGACAATTTAATGATAAAAATTTACTGAACTCTGAACATTGACAGTTTGTATTACATTTTATAAAATTGTTGTGGAATTAATTTTAAAAAACAATTGTCTACAACTTACGGAGACTGCACGTCTTGAGTAAATCAGGATCGGGTCGTAGTGTCTGTCTCGTTGTAGATTCTGCTGGATTGTCAATCATATGTAAAATGTAAATTGAATGTATCCATAAGGAAAGTTTTATAAGTTTCCGATTTCTTACCATTAAAATTGATGTTAAAGTCACCAAATTGTTATAATTTATAATAATTATTATTTAAATGCATAATATGCAGATCATATTACGCTGTTTCAAATCCTCACGTTATACCCGTTTTCTATTACCAAGTCAAAATGTTTAAGCGTCATGCAAGGAGATTATAATATTATGTATATACGGTGTAACCAAAAGTTTATATTTGTAAGGACCGTGGTATAGATTTCATCGTCTGGTTGTGCAGGGAATACGCGTGATATACGCGCCCAGCACTTTTGGGAATTTCCACTTTACCGCCCGGCACTATTAGGGATTCCCACTTTACCTCCAGCTGGACGGAAAAAGGACGCTTTCGAACGCTTTTACCGCTATCGAAAACCAAACTTTCGGTGCAGATGTGACGAATAGTATATTGTGTGGCAAGGGCGGGAAGTGAGCCACACATACTATTTTTTGTCACGCCCCTGCGTTCATGGAAAAGGTTATGCAGGGATCTATGCGTCATGCAAGGAGGTTATACTATACATTTAAGATGTAACCAAAAGTTTATGTTTTGTAAGAACCGTGGTAGGTATACATTTTAGTTTCTGGTTGTGCAGGGGATACGCGCCCGGCGGCCGGCACTTTTGGGGATTTTTTCTTTTCCGCCCGGCACTTTTGGGGATTTCCTCTTTTCCGCCCGGCACTTTGGGGATTTCCACTTTACCGCCCGCTGGACCGAAAAAGGACGCTTTCGAACGCTTCAACCGTGGTCGAAAATAAAACTTTCGGTGCAAATGTGACAAAAAGTATATTATAGTACGTACAATTCAATACTTACATACCTATACTTATTACTTATATATTTTATTAATTATAATAATTATAAATGCATAATATACGTGGTGTATAGTGATGTATTATCAATAATTTTATTATATTACCAATATAAGCAAGATATTTATAAATATTAAATTATAATTAAAGACCGGATTTATATTCTCTTAAAATACCTAAAATATGATGCTAATATTCTAATAATCTCTAAAAAACCTTCAAATATTCCCATTATATTCTATTAAAAATTTTTAAAAAATGCTAAAATATGCAAAACATGCAAAAATATGCCAAATTATGTGAAAATAATCGATAAACAATAATTAAACATCAATACATCATTATTTGCTTTAATATGCATTTTAAATTTTTTTTATTTCAACATTATTATAATAGTGAGGTATTAATTAGGTGTTGAAAGATGAGTATTCGAATGGAAAACTATTGCACTATAGTAAGAGTTGGAAATAATAAAAAAAAATTGTAAATGTTCAAAAAAAAATTTCTGGGTAACGTAATATTAAAATTAAAAATAAATACAATTTTTTTCTTACAATTTACGAAATATTCTCAAATATGCGAAAAAAACTTTTTTCTACGCATTCAGAATTGATCGAATCGTCCACATTTTTTACTCTCATAAAACTGCATAGACCCAGTAACAATATGTAAAAACATATAAATCCGGTCTTTAATTATAATCAATCTATCAAGGACTGTCACTACAACTTACCGCTTCCCCTTTTTTTTTTTGTTCCATCTTCCATCCTACCAATCAATCTAATATTAATATCTAATATATACGATAATATTTCAGAAAACTGATCTGAATTCGTTAGAATGTCCATTTGAGATCGGCCAGTCCATATTTTAAGATTTCTGCTTTAAAGTCTGAATACACAACGTTTGAAAATTCCTAAATTTCAAAATATTCAAGCTAAATGTTTAGAGGTTGGGCGGGTGAAATTGGCAAAAGTGGATTGACCAATCTCAAGTAGACGTAATAAAGAATTCAAATCTATTTTAAAAATTATTATCGCATTACTAAATCGATCAGAATGATGGAATATGAAATATTAATTGGATGTTTTGGATAAAATAACTATATTAGGTATAAATAAATTATAGTATTTCGTCAGAAACGTTTTTTCCCAGCTAGCCCCGCATCGTGCCATAAATAACTTGGTTTCAATAATTGCAAATTGTTTGTGCACTATAAAATTCTCATAATTCGTTTTAAAATTAAAATTAAAATATAAAAAAACCACGAGATTCACTAAAGATAATATTCTTACTTCTAAATCGGACGATAGACCTATTCACAGTAATATTAAACATAACAGAGTTAAGTGGATTATTCAGAACGTACAATTTGAAATGTCAATGTCTTAATTAATTAATAATATCAAAACGTCATGATATTGAGATCCTATTTATTCGTTATTACTGCTCTATTTAAACGCTTCTGATGATTAATATCATGGTTGAAATAAAATAATTCAGACATGAGACATGATTAAGATATAATTAAAGATGTTCGGAATCCGGAGGAGTATTATACAATAGATATTATAAAGGAATATTTATATTTTAAATTTTAAAACCTTGGCACGGACAACCGACTAGGGTTTAGTCATTAACATTATTACGCCTTAGGAACGCTAGACCTCTTTTTATACCATTCATATTTTATTATCATCTCTCTAGAATGTTATATTTTTCTCAAAGTTTCAAAGTTGCATCTATTTTTTAATGCCAGACGATAATTATTTCACTCGAGGTTTTCGTTCACTTCTGTGCAGAACTCAAAAGTCCACATTTTAAGCAACAATGTTTGAAGAGGGACAGCTGCAGACAAGTACTTAGATAATAATATTATTTTATTAAATAATGTAGGAGGGGCCTACAGGTAAAGGTTGCCGAGCCAAAGCTGCTGTACATAACGGTGTTGGATGTATAAATACTTAATACGGCGAAGTCGACATTGGAAGTCGGCGGCGCACAGCTCGCGATCAAAATTTTTGTATTTATAAAATGATTACCCAATGATTATTGATTAATGATTACCCAATATTATTTCCAAGACTACCAAAAGATTACTGAGAATTCGTACACCGATTTCCATATTTAGTGATTTGCGGTAAGCGAATGGAAAATAAATGGAAAATGGAAAATATTATGTACCACTCGAGTCCTGCGGACACTAATAAATAATAATAATTATAGTAAACAGTCGAAGTTTCTAATAATATCAGTACTGACGAATTATCGGTATACGGCGACTACGAAAATAATTAAAAATACAATATTATTGACATTATAATTCCATGTAGGTAGGTACCTATGCACCTTCGAACCGTACTTAACAGAGTAAAACGAGCGTGTATGAATAGTGCCTAATAACTAAACGTAATAATAAAAAATCGTCGGCGAGCTCCGCGGCGTCGGTAAAAAACACTTTCCAATTTAGCGTCTTTTTTACGCTCCACGCGACGCGCCGCACGCGCACCGATAACGTAATATTATTATTATTATATTCGTCGATCTATGACAAAACAAGTGGTACTGTGGTAGTCGCTTCTACTCGTAATAACTCGAAAAACATCGTACAAATCGTACGATATCGTACCCCGACGGGGTTTATTTTAGAAATTTTCAAACGGCACGACCACCGCGGCGGCGTGTTCCGTCGACGTGTCGCCTCGGTCTGGCAAAGTCGCGACCGTCCGAAAATACGTCCGTCGCCCATAGAAAAGAATAACCAACTCCATCACGTCGTTACTTATATATTGCTGATTATAATACTACAATAATATTACTATATTTTTTTTTTCACGAGTTGCGACATCTGATCGCACAAAAACTATCGTGGCCCATGCCGCCGTGTGTTACGTAAGCGTAGTATTTTCACCGTCGCAGCAGCTGTTGTCAAACGAAACACACTCTCCTCCGCTCGAGACCGGTGCCGCGAGATTTCGTGGACGGCGAGCGCCACCTCCAGCAGCAGCCCAGTCAGCGCGTGACAGCGTCGAACCGCGACACACGGACGAACGTGCTTAACGTCGTCGACGAGTGTCTCTCGTGATAATACGTCGTCGTTGACGTTTGTGTATATTTGTGCGATTCCGCGGGCGAGCAGATCTCACGGTTATTGACAGTATTGATTATTGATCGTCGGGAATAATATTATCGTTGCAAAAGCATCGCCACCGACGTTTGGGAACTCGTTTTCCGGTTTTCGACGCCATGGAGTTGTAGGCATTGGAATACGGACGAGCGACACGCACCATCGGATCGCGAATCACGATTTTGATAACTGATAACGACACGGTACCGTTGATAACGAGAAGTTGTAGTTGTATTATTACGCTGATAGCCAATACTTAACACTGCAACTCTGGTCGACTCTCGATTTCTATTGCGCAAAGTCGATACTGCTGGTACGCTAAACATGAAATAACTTAATAACGTCGTGTCGTCGAACCCCTAACCGCGACCATTTTGCGAAAATATCGTCGGTGGTTTTTTTCTGGTCACCCGTGTACCACACCGTCGTCGGTCGCTCAAACCGCCACACGGTCGTCCGACTTTAGTCGTCGACAACTTTTGACAAGTTGTGCTTCCGCGGTGGTCCGCCTGTCCAAGTGCACAAAGCTTGGTTTTATGTACGTAGGTCGTAGACATTAAAAGAGTCCTGTCACAATCGTCATGAGTACGACATATTACGATCCGGACGGTTTGCAGAACGTCAAACGCAGACGTTCCACCAACTTCCGCGACACGTATTTGCGTAATCGCGAGTACGGGTTCCGACCCAAGTATGGCGACCAAAGTCGTCTACACTGCGAAATGTATACGTCCATATATCCCATCGCCAAGTGGGAATACGACGTTTCAAACAATGACATCACCAATCCGGCTGGTATATTTAATCTGGAATTCTCCCCAGATGGGTAAGCATTATCATCCAATTTTTAGGAAGTACCTACCTGTTCTCAATATTGCAATTTTTTATAGCCGATTGGTTGTATATTATAACTGTATGCATCACAATATGCTACGTCTAAAGCAATATTTTGTATTATACAGTAATTCCTGTTTTAATTGACTGATTTGGTAATTTTGTATATATTATATGAATATCAATATGTTGTGCCTACATGATATTATATTTGGAAGGATTATAGCCTATAGGTATTAAACGGTCAGGAGAATAAAGAAACTATCCATCGATGTGTCTCCGTTAAGACATATTTTTAAAAAAAGTGGTATTTTAAATCTTTTAGAAAATACTACATTAATTAAGCTTCTGTAAATACTGTATACAATAATACATTTCTGTTTTATCATTACATAACATTTGTGTTAAGGAAGTGTATATAACATTTTTTTAATTTTCAAATTTGGAATTAATAAATGTATACAAATTGTTATACACATGCTACTAGAATCCTAGAGCCCTAGAGTCAAGACTCAAATATTCTAAAAAAAAAAATTAAAATAACCTTTCTGATCATGGTCAATTATATTTAGTAGAGCTAATATATATTATGTATATATAATCAAATGACTAATACCAATAATAACCTTCACCTTTGATTAAATCTTTTTTAACCATAGCAATATTTTCAAAAATAATACAGTTAAAATAATTTAATGCAACAATACAATTTATCACATAAATATAATTTTCTACAAGTTATAGTATTAACATAAATATTCAATGAGCATATAAAAACCATAAAAAAACAAATATTCTATACAATTTATATTAGGGATACGTTATTTAATGATTATTCACTGTGTTTTCTAGGAAAATATTGGCCGCAGCATGTGAAAAGAAAAGCATTATGTTATTCGATCCTGTAACTCAAAAGTATATAACATCAATAAAAAAAGCACATAATGATTGTGTTAATTGTATAAAGTAAGTACCTAATTAATTGTGGATCTATAATAGTATAATGTACTTTTTATAAATAAAATTTTAATTGAAAAGAGGAAAAGTATGCTGTTATATTATATTACTGTGAATAGATTGGCAAACCTATTTCCTATAATAATAAAATAGTTTAGTTTTTGACAATTAGGTATTAATATAATATAATTTGTTTATGACATGATGTAGGTACAATTGAGGGGCGACATTTCAAAACGTACTATTTACACTTAACACTTTTTAGAGAAATCACGATTTTCTATTTTTAATTACCAGTGGAAATAGTACCTTATGTAAATAACTCAATTATATTCCCTATCTATATACTATGGGAAATAGTAGAATATGGCCTACTTTGGAAGTAGTATGTTTTGTACAATTTGAGGAATTGGTACGTTTTGCATCATTTATGAGTTTCAGATTGATTTTAACAAAGGAAATAGTATGTTTTGGTTCAATTTAACCACACAATTCGATTCCTCGTACATTTTTACATATGAATCTATGTATAACTCAATTTGTCAATTTTGAAATGTCGTCCCTCAATTAGAAATTAAAACTAAATACTAAACAAATATGTACCTATGTTCACTTTTATTATATTTTTACATTTATGACATCGGTTTTTTTTTTTTTTTTTTTATATATACTAAATGTACGATAAAATAAAAATGATTTATAGATTTGAGTGTATTCCTCTATCAATTATTTTGCAGCGAAATAAAAAGAGTTAAAACTATTACAATTTGTAGAATTTAAAGAAATGTATTATTGTTCATAAATTTGTTTCCATAAATATTCAATATTCATAAAAATTATTTATTCTAGATTTTTAGATTCTAGAATGTTTGCTACATGTAGTGATGACACTACAATTGCATTATGGGATGTTCGAAACCTTAAAGACAATATAAGGGTATTGAGAGGACATTGCAATTGGGTAAAAAGTATTGAATATTCAGCAAAAGACAATTTACTTGTTTCCAGTGGATTTGATGGGCAAATTTACACATGGGATATTAACAGGTAAAAATATTTTGTATGCGATCAGTCATATTTATTATTAATTGTTTATGATGTAGTTACTCAGAAGAAGGAAGAGTTCCCAATAATTCTGTATGTCACATTAACGGACTTATGCGCATTAAACTTCTACCTGACTCTAGCAAGTTAATTGTTTGCACAACAAGTGGCTTCATATTACTTATAAACAATTTAGACTTGGAGACACTTGGTACAGATATTCAAGGATTCAAAGTAATTTTTATATTTAAAATATATAATAATTATAAGTTAGTTTATTTGGAATAAACTTTGCTATTTAAATTTAGGCAAAATTATATCTTAAAATAATTATAACTTTGTTAGTTTGTTGTAATCATGGGCTAGAAAATGTTTAAATTAATTGTAAAACTTGAAACTATTGCAACAAGAGTGACATTAATAGTGCTTTGATTAGAAAATAGTATTATCTTCTAATAATATAGATTACTATATTTTTCATTGTAATTTATGTTATTGTTTTCTATAAGAATATTTAACAATAAGTAATTCTATAAATACTATTACATATTTGCAAGGCTGAGCATTAACGAGTTAATTCAATATTAACTTTTTTACTTAACTAGTTAAATTGGATTTTCATTAACTTAACTATTTACTTACCACATTTCTTTTTAATGAACAAATTCATTTTTCATTTTACGAAGAAGTTAGGTTAATTTATTTTGTTTTTAATTTTATTATATTTCACTATTTTAGTCTATTTTGTTTTCATATCAAAAATATTTACCTTGAATTGTTTAAAGTTATAATTTTTTATTTTTCCGATCTAACTTATATGGAAATACTGTAAACACTATAGTCTATAATTTAGTATTCAGTTGGAAATCGAAGTACTAGCGTAGCATAAAAAAATTAACTTTTCTTTAACTTAATAAAAAGTAAAGTTAATGAAAAGTGTGTATTAACTTTTAACTTAACTGAGTTAACCTATAACTAAACTAACTTTTAACTTAGTGTTATTGGTGCATATTAAGGCCCCAGAAAATGTGTCATTTTTAAGGAGTTGTGTTTAGGCAATTATTTCATTCCTGCGATTACTTCCTGCGATTACTGATCGTCTTTGTGTGTAGTAAATGATCATTAGTGTGTGTATACTCCCCTACCATCACCCGCAACCCACATCAGTTTACAATACATTGTTATTTCTTAACTGGTTTATGGTCTCACGCACTCACATGCACAAGTCATTTAATGTCTAGATCAAAATATTCAAAACCAATTTATGGACGTGAAATAGCCGTTGTACTGACAAAAATTGAGGTACTTCTAGTGGTTTCATTTAAAAAATGTAAAGATGTATGTGTTGGTAAACAAGTTTACTTTGCATCAGTCGGAGCACTTTTTCAATTTTAGCAAGTTCTTAACGAGAATAAATATTTTACATTTTCTACATTTATATATTTTTAGTATTGAATATATATTCAAAAATATCTAAAATATAAAAAATATGCTCCGACCGATGCAAAGTAGACTTGTTTACCAATTAAAACATCTTTACATATTTTAAATCGAACCACTAGAAGTACTTTAATTCTTGTCAGTCGCTAAGGTCGTTTTGATGAAAAATTAATAGGGTTTGCAGGGGCTTAACTTTACTTTACTGAGTTACAAATAATAATTAACTTGCCCAGTCTTACATATTTGTCTAAGAACAGATATAAAATTAATAAAAAGGTAAAAACATTTTTCCGCCATTTAGGTTAACGAGTATAGGAGAATTAATATAAAACTATGTGTTTGATTATTATTTTAATAGGTATCTTATTTTTATTTATTTTTTTTTTCATTTATTATAAATAACATTTTAATCTACATACATTCTATTGAATATTTAGTTACTACAAAAAAATATAATTAATTTTTTATAGCATTTATTTTAGTTTTTTTAAGATATTTTTATATTATAAACATCTTTTCTTAATATTAAAATAATTAACATATCATATTATTAAGTTTTGAATAATAATTTATAAATTGTAAATACCTCAAAATTATATTTCTAGCCAAATATGTACCGTTTGATGCAGTTGAGTAAGACTACCATTCCTAATGCAGCTGCCCACACTCACATGTTTACTCGTAAACGGAACCGCGTTGAATTCATTGTAGATTTTCCTAGAAATGATGATGCCGAAATAATATCTTCTATCCAGGTAATTCCTTAATAATAAATTACTTATCTATCAAAATTATTTAAACAACAAACATTTTAATAGGTACATCCACAAGGTTGGAATGTATTAAGTCGAAATGTTACCACTGATGAACAGTCAGAATGGACGTGTGTACATGATATACAAGACTTTGCCATTCCTAAACAACAAGATGAACCTGAAGAACTGAGTTCTGAAGAAGCAAACTCATTGGAACATTCCTTAGCTGATGACCCAATGTAATAAACTAAAAAATATACAATTTGAAAGTGATCTATATTTTTATTTTATATTTTCAGGGAAGGAAGACTTCACCGACGTACACATGTTGTGATCCCTCGAGACATAAGTGTTGGCATAAGTAGTATGATACCATTTTCTGTGTTAGGCCCAACGAGAGGAAACCGTCAAGCTGACTTATGGGAAGCAATGATGAATGTCAATAGTGGTAATCGCATAAGAAGCTTAAGATATTTATCAGGCATGTATAATATATTATTAAAATTAAAAATATATTTACATATAAGTACTAGTATGTATTGCCCAATGAACTTACGTTAGTTTAAATTACAATACACGTTACCTATAATTGATGTGTAAAAAACACTAAAAATCTGTTATATAGACTCTTCGCTTTAAATTGTTTTCTGTGTGCAATCATTTATTCTAAATAACACAAACATGACAGTGACTTACTCAATGATAAAATACACTCAACACTTACTGTACAGCTAACAGAGCAGTTACCTCCTTTCCCCTATTTTTTTTCCAATTATTAAAAATAGTACTGCACATTTCTTACTTTGACCTCCTTAAGTACCTATTAGATATATTTTGCCATTTAAAAAGGACAATTAATCTATTTTACTGGTCAAAAAGACAATAACAAACACAAAAATAAAAACACATCATTGTAAAATCGCTTAAAACTCAAAATATGCATTAAATATTAAAAAAAGTATTCAATCCATATAATAAAAAATGTTATTATTTTATAATGAAACAATTAATTTTAATAACTTAACCTGTTAACAAAAATATTTATATTTAAATTGTAATAGGTAAATGGACTAGTTTTTTATAGCTGTAAATTTGTAACACATGGTCATCGTTCAACAAACATTTTTTTAAATATTTTTATTATTTAATCTACTGTGATTAATGAAAACAAGTTTTTTATAATAAGAAAAACTTCTTACTGCATCCAAATATCCAATAATCTTTTAACACCTTATTTAGTTTTGTAGTTAACCAAATCATTGCTGGACAAGTACTCAAATAGTCAAATGTCTTCCATAGTAGTAATTTTACCAGTTAAAAAGTCATATTATATACCTTTAATCTGTTAATATTTTTTAATAAATTACTTCCATCCCTAGTTAAAATTTTGGTGGGGCAATAACAAACCAGTAGTTACTACTTATATAATCTATTCAGGTTAAGAGTAAACCATAATACTGTTTATGTCTGTGCATTCCCACTCATAATTCATAAATAGCTCCTACAGCAAGTGAGTCTGATAGTGCTAGGCAGCCTACATGTGCAAGAGTGGTTCATTTTCAACCGGAAAAAATTGGACTAGTTTTTAAAACAATTTCTAATTTCAAGATAATGTTAATATATGTTAATATATGTGTTACTTAATAATTAATATTTAATATTGATATTTTAGAAGGACGAGAGCGAATAATGGGCACATATGCTGGCGTACGGATCGTACGCAGTGCAACTGGATTACAAGATCAAGACCAAGACGACATAGAGGAAATGATAACAGATGATGATGATGGGTCTTCAGAGCGATTAGTCACAGTATTATTTAACAACCGGAATAGTAATCGTGTACCTGACATTAGAATGCGTGGTTATCTCCCCCCAAATTCTAGAATTGATATCACTCGGCCAAGTAGGCGTAGTACTGTGGAAGTAGGAAATGGCCCAGACGCAGTGGTGTTTATTGGCAATAGGCAACGTCGTAACAACTATGTTCTAAATTGTATGAATAGATTTCAGGTGCCCCTTAACCATAAAATTCACAAAAATTTTAACCGTCTTACACATTTTATTGAAGAGGCAAATGTGGGTAGAGGGTATATCAAAGAACTCTGTTATTCTAGTGATGGACGTATAATATGCTCGCCCTTCAGTCATGGAGTAAGGCTGTTATCGTTTTCGCCCAACTGTGATGAATTGTCTACTTTGCAGCCAAAACTGCCAGGTGTAAAACTTCATGAGATTGGTACAAATGTGTCTCACTCTAATATTGTACTCTGTACCAAATTCTCGCCTGTTCACCCTCTTCTCGTATCTGGTTGTTTAGCTGGTCGAATCGTTTGGTACCAACCGAGACTATAATACTTAATGACTTTACTATTGTATGTATGTAATGTTTTTTTTATTTATAATAATCTACTATTCAAGGTTTGAATAATTCATTTTTTGTTTGTTCTAACGTTACAATTTAATGCCACTGTATGTCTAGGACATACAAAGACAACATATCTTCTCGTGTATAAATATGTTACTTGTATTGAATATGTCTGTGAATAAGGTCTAGTGTACACCAAATGAGTTGAGTTTTTTTCGTACGAATGTAATGAATTATCTTCAAAGTTAGCCACTTGTACGCGAAAAATGTATGCTCAATAAGTAAGAGACTGTATAAAAATCATATATTTTTGTCTTTCTTATTTTGTCTTTTTTTTTAAAGTTTTAGTGATAACGATGAAATATAATTTCTTTATCTAGACAATTTTTGACTGTTTGCGACATAATCTTTTTTATACTACTAGACCTTTAAAGCTATGCAGTGACTCATTTTTAGCACATTAATAATCTCAGTTCTCATAAACTCTTAGAAACTTGATACATTAAGCATTAGTGAACATTTTAATTAGTAGATTGTTTGTCTACCAAACCGGTTGGTATTTTGAAATATTTGAAAACACATAACAGAATCAACGAAATTGATATGACTTAACAATATTCGGTTATCTTGATAAATGTTATTAATTTTCATAATTTGTTTTGATTACACCATTTATAACAATATTGGTTTATTACCAATGTTGAACCCATGATAAAATAACTAGTTGGTTGAAACAACTACAACCTACTCTGTTACTGTTAATAATCTCGGGTAAGTGCATTCTAGCTTTGTCTAATTATTATAAGGTGCCTTAAAAATTAATTTTTGTTTCGTCTAAATTATAGTAAATAATTTAATCGACGCTTACAACTGAGGAGTTTTTGCTAGGTTCTTTCTGTAACATAATTTTCTTCCGATAATAATGTTAATCATTATTATTATTGTTTGTTTTTCACTATAATTACCTCATGTTAATGTATATAGGGATTAAAATATACTATATCAAAATTTATTATTATTATTATTATTAAACATTTGTATTCAAAGCAATAAAAAAAAAACAAAAAAAAATTGTATCATAGTACATACTATGTGTATATATATATCACACATATATAACTATATTATGTAGAAATATATTAATTATGTATTATTGGTTTTCGATACCGTCTCGTGTTTACTCCTTTCAAACACTTATGGTCACTACTATTCCTCTGCACTGTCTATTTTGATTTTGTTATTCCTTTTCGAAGGCTTACTGAATTAGTTTTTTACAGATGCAAAAATATTCCCTCTGTACGCTGATATATATATATAATAAAATAAAATGCTATTTGAAAAGCTCGAATCAACGTGTATATTGTATATCATTTAAAAACAACGTAATACAAGTTGTTAATAGTCTTATAACCATAAATATAATATTATTAGATAAATATAATATGTTTATATTTATATAAAAAAAATAAAAATGATTACCTATAATAATAAACCGATTTACAAACATAATATCATAAAACAACACTACTTGATCTGTGTACGTGTTCTATTTAGTATTAATACATGTATCATGTATGAACGCGTTGCGAATACAATCGAATGACAATAATGTTTTCACATAAGAATTAAAAGTATAACAAAAAGTTAGTAGGTAATAATACAATATATAAATATTGTCTATAGTAGTAATTAATTATTCAATGAGAGTTGCGTTAACATTCGTACAGTACAAAGGATAAACGCGTTTTATAGTATCCAATAAGTACCTGCTCCATTTCCATAAAAAATAAATTTTTAAAAAAAAAGTAAACACTGTTAAAATTAATTTTATTGGGAAATGTTCACGATTATCATGAAGTACGCCGTTGTCCTCTTTTAGCCATCACCTACACACTGTTGTAAGTCACTGGACCAAGTGATGAAGTCCATGTTTTTTAATGTACCGTTGGCGGGCTTCATCAATCAACTTTGCTTTCCTCTCCATGAATGATCCAACTCCAAAATTATTGGGTTCTGTTCTTTTGGACTATAAAATTAAACGACAAAAATCATAACAATACAAAAGGTACAACATAGGTAAACTATAAATAATCTAAGAGTGAAACTTAATTTGTTCTCTTACTCAATGATCTCAACAGTGGCATAACTAGGGGGGTTGATGAGGATGATATATCATCCCCCAAAACCTTTTTTAAATATTCTTGGTACATCATACATACCTACATTACAATTTTTTTTCAAATTTAAAGTCAAATTACCCTTTCCCCACTCTAACAAAAAATAAAGTCCTAGTTATGATACTGGACCCACATAACTTGCAGTACTTATCAAATAAAGGCAGAATTTTAAACAAAATAAAAATGGGTTTGAAAACAGGTTAATGATTATGTTAACTTCTTGTGAGCCAAATGTTAACTTTGAGTTAATGTTAGTTCAGAGGATGCCAGCACACTCATATTTTTCTCTCTGGCCCATGCGCAATCTTATAATACTCAAACAACCAAAATCATTTTTATTTCTTTATGTTTTTAGTACAATCACCGATATGGAAAAAATTATTGACGAGAGTAAAATTTTTGCAGGTTTGACAAATCAATTATTTTAAATATTGTCTCAAACCAATTTAAATATTTATCATTTAAGTTTACAAAAATAATTTCTTGTTTTAAAAGTCTAATATAAACTCGAATAATAAAACCGATATCAAACCGGTAAATTTAATTTAAAAAAAAAAAAACAATTTTACATAATTTTTTTTGTCTATGCTGAGTGTGGATTTGAAAAATAAAATGCTGTGTTGATATCATCTTAAATCAAATATAATTTATAGAATAACTAACCTATTTATCGATTTATCAAATTTAAATGCAAAACTAAAATATAGGAAAAACTTGACATTACAACAATGTACTCATCGATAGTAAATTTCATAATAATTGCTCAATTAATTCTAAATATTGACTCAGCGCCCAGTGATGTAATCCTACATAAATAAACAGCTTCCTGTACTTAATTATAATCATCTTATATGCTAATTTTTCAATCAATTCTATTAGTATAATCCTTCTTATATATTTTTAATTTTTACTGGGTCTTGATGTTATCCCTGACCTTATCAACTTTGGTAAAACAAAATATTTTATATTAAAAAATTATTATTATTTATGTGAAAACAAATTTGATGACTTATGAACTCTGAACTCCAATGACTAATTAATTGTTAATATATAATCATTTTAATGGATCATTGTCTGTTTATTTATCAAAATCATAATTAATGTTGTATGTATTCCTCATTAAAATAAAAAATATTTTGAATCAAAACTGACTTTTTAGCAAAATGTGACTATCTATATTACCATTGAATACAAAATAGTATTTGAAAAAAAAATTCTCAGTTAGTCATAATAATACCTTTATAGAACTATGGTAAAAGTAAATTTATAATTTACATAATATAACATGGCTTACCGTCGGTTTTGGTACTTTGGAAGACTGTGGCAATGGAGTAAACTTAATAGTGCCATCAAGTATATTTGTAATTGTTATGTCAACACATCTTGTTCGCCCTATGAAAAAAAAAAATCATTGAATGATATTGTAATGGCATAAACTCATAAGTGATATATTATAATCATGGAGAATGACCAAGGCTCGTAAATTCATACACTAAAATATGCTTGAAAAATGTATACAACTATGATCTTAAAAAATAATAAATATGAAAAAATGTTATCAAGTCAATATCATACCAATATTTTGTATATTTTAAGACTTGTAAGAATGATGAGTGCTTTTTTGATAATAATTGATTTTATTGGACTGTCAGGTTGACCCTTATTTTTATAATTTAACTATCTAAGAATTGATTTTAATATTAAAATATAGAAATTAAGTATTGTAGTACTTTTTTCAAAAAAAAATCAATTTTTAAATTATTGATAACTACCTACTTAAGTACATCGACAATTAAGAGGACGTGACACCCGCATGTGATGTATCCGTCTTACAAGTGCATAACATAGCAAATTATACGCAACGCAGAACACGTGTATCTCCGTTAGCTTAAAAATTTGAGTAAATTGACCTCTTATAAAATCTTAAGGTAAAATTATTATCTAAACAACCTCATGAGCTTTTTATTATATTTTAATTTTAAAGCGAGCTATGAGTATTTTAAAATTGTAAATTGTTTGTACATTTTAAAGTACTAATAACTCGCTCCTCTTAAGAATAATTTTAAATAAAGATGATGCTCTTTAAATGAAAATAAAAATCATGATAATGGCAAAAATCTCCAAAAATGCAATTTATACAGTTAATACAAAATAACATTTCTTATAATGAATCCTGTTAACCTTGAAGCAAATGCATTTATATGTAATCTACTATTTAATATGACTTGGCAAGATTGATAAGCATATGCACAAACTTATACAGGCCTGGCGAGTTACTGCCTTAAACTCGATAGGTAGCATCAAATTTTGGCCAACTTAGTAATAACTCAGAACAATGAAATATAAATACTAATAAATAATAAATATTATGTCTTATTGAAAAATGAGCCATTAACTTTTTAGTGCTGTTTAAAAGTTAAAGCCCTAAAACTCGGTGGGCCAATGTACAACCTATTCCCGGCACTGAATCTAAAGAATTTTTTTAAAAATTAAGAGCTCTAATAATAACATTTAAAAGACAATTTATATAAGTTTTATAAGAAAGTTTATTAGTTTGCTTACTAAGGTTGGCAACAACGACATTCTGGGGAACATATGGAAGAACATCAGTAACTTGTGCAGCCATTCTTAATATTTCAGGATCCTCTTCAAAATTATCCAGGGTTACATGTTTGTTATGCTTTCTAGCGTTTTCGGCCAATTCCAATAAATATTTTTTTTTATAATCTTCCTAAAATTAAAATTTGATTATTTTATTAGGACAAATCATAGAAATATAACAAAATTATTCTATAAAAATAATTCCAAATTTTTACTATCATACCTTATCGTTCTTTGTAATATTTGAAGTAGATATGTTGAGTTCTTGTGAAATGGCTATTTCCACCCTGGACATTAAAGTTTCATTAGATTCGTCTTCAGATCTTTGAATCACCTCGAGAAGTCTGTAGTTGTTTTTGAAATATTTTGAATTTGAATATTAAATTGCATAGGTACTAATTAAAACAGTCAACAGCTTACTTACTTGTACTCAAATTTTGTGAATGGAACAAAAAAAAACCAAAATATTTCTGTGAAATTTTTCGATCCGAGCACTGATAAATTAATATTCGCAAATGATGGTCGAGTAATTGTTAAAACTACTGGTTGTAAATTGTCACTTATTAAAGCTGGTGCATTAGAAAATCTAGTGTTTTGATAAAATAAAAAACAATTATTATAGCAGTAGGTATTTAAAAATAACATTTTAATATTTACCTAAGTAGAGCACACTTTCCATTAGTAGAAGCTCCTTCTGGAAATAAGAGCAATGTTTTTTCATTATCGTTAGCTAAAAACTGTTTCAATACAGTGCTTTCCGTTGTAATATTGTCGTTAGTTAATGTAGATATCAGCCCGAAATACAATCCCACAGGTCTACTGAATACAGCTGTCGGCTGAAAGGTTGAAATTAAAATTTAAAAAAACTATGATCATTTATAATTGGTAATTATGTACATACAGCAAAACTTCCTGTTGCCAAATGCAACGCAATATGATCAAATAATGACAAATAATTTGAAACCAACACTCTGCTGTTCTTAATTGAAGAATTTTCTTTTTCAACAACAATTAATCCGAGAACACCAGACATAATTTTTAAAAGTGGTCTGTGAACATAAACCCTGGCAATTAGTAAACAATCATAATAACATGCAATAACATAAAATTTGTAAATTTACCTGCGGATATTTGGGTAATTGCTCAATATCACTGTCAAAAGTAATGCATTTATTGCAATAAAAACTCTTAAAACAACTAAAATAACTCCAAATGGAAAATAAGCAATTATTCCTAGTGTTTCATTTACAGTCTTTGGAAACCTAAAAATTAAAAACATTATATTTTTCAAATTATTCATCACAAAAGATACATCACAGTTTATGTGCGTATTAAGAAACATTTCTAAAAAACTCATTTTTAAGTGTAATAGCTAAAATATTTAATGATCTCAACTATTAATAACAGTTTAATACATTGTACCGAAATAATTAACATATTGATATCGGTAATGATGGTATGTGACATTTGTATACATTCAACCTTACAAACAAAATATCCGGCAAAATACATCAAACCTTTTGACAGATTGCGTAACCGCAGACTTTGTTGTGTATTTTGTTATGATAAACATTAAACACTCCATACGTGTAAAAACAAAAGAAACCAACTGAAAACTAGAATTCATAACACAACTATAATAATTGCTCACCTTGATTTTTCCACTAAATTTTCAACTTCAATATTGGGGCTCATTGTTCGGAAGATATTGTGTGGATCTATACGTGAAACAAAATATTTAAATGGATTTCCCGAAGGTGTTCTTGAACAGTGAAACTATTATTAATTATAAAAAATAAAAAAAAAATACATAACACTCAAGACTCAACTACCTCTTAAAATATTTAACATAACACGATATCGGATATATTTACCACAGAGACAGAATAGATTAAATTATCTTATCAATCATAATCCTCAAACGTTGATAACAGGACGACTGGTATCTTCATTGCTCGATTGTATCAGTTGTATCATATTATTAGCTGCCGCCTGCTACCTCGTTTTAACCGTGATGTTTACTGCTTACTGCTTACTGTTTACTGCTTACTGCTTATCATGGACTAAGCACTAAGATACTATTAGGTACCTATAATATCTTAGACAATAGTTGTTAGTCCACGATTATAAAGAACTTTATAGAACTAAATTACTAAAGCCTAAAGGGTCTTTATGATCATTGCCACATGCCAATTGACAACATCGGTAGCTCCAATGCTCCATTGACATAAAATATCGCACTCCTAGAACAAGACTGCCACAACTCAAAATTCATGAATTTTGAGTTATGACTACTTTTGGATAGAGAAAAATAAGCTCTTTTAAATGCAAGAACGCCACATTCAATATCATTTTTCATTTAGCCACTATAGAGATGTGTCTGTATTGAATTATTTAAATATTGGTTAATTTTCAATGCAAGAGAGCCATATTTACTTTATGGCAGTATACTTATTTTTATTTATCCAAATTATCACTGAAGTCAAAATTCAAGACTGCCTTATTTCGACTTGTGGCGTTCTTGCACTGAATAAAAACTAATTATCGTGTAATATGTTGAGTGCAAAACAGCAATATTTAGAGTTGTGGCAGTATTGCATTTTATAATTTGTGATAGTGCAGCCACAACACGAATTATGACTCTATTGTATTTATAAATAGAATAGCTTTTCGTTTTGCGCCAAATTCTCATATAGTCGCATCTCAAAATATGGCAGTCTTGCATTTACTTAAAAAATTGTAAATGGCCACAAGTCTAAATTTTTGGGTTTAAGAGTGAATTTCAAAATATTTGAAAAATTAATATTGTAAAGTATGGTTGTAAGTATTTAAGTGTTAAATTTCAAACGCATAAGTAAAAAATTCATTAAAATATCTTAAGTCCAAACTTCAAATTGATTTTTCTCAAAACTATAAATTTTGAGTTGTGACAGTCTTGTTCTAGGAGTGCGATATATCATTGGGTCTTCCAAATCTACTCAAATATTAAAATGTACGATAATGAATTGATAAAATTGTATAGATATGTAATAATTGAATACCAGACATAATAATTCAATAATATTTTTTGTGACAGTCAGTGAGTCAGACTTACTTCAGAGTTGAAAATTGTAATAGTAGGTATAAGTGTGTTTAAGGTTTTAAGGTAGACATACACTATAGATCTTTTTGTTCAAATATCAGTTGTAAAAATTGAAAAGAATAATATTATTGACAATCACCAGTCAATGTTATAATTAGGGCTAAGAATGTAAAACTCCAAAAAATCCAAAAAATCCCCCTTAAAATTCAAAATACTTCACTTAACCTTCACTTTTAAACCAAAAAAATTTTTATTAAAAAAAAGTTTTACAGGAAATCGAATTTTAGTTTTGAAGGCCCTAAAATCCCAAAAATTCACTTAAAAATTAAAAAATTACCTAAAAATTGAAAATTTTCAAAAAATGAAAAATAAAAACTTCTTATTCTTAGGTATTAAAAAATGCATGAAACGTATATTATGAAATTATTATAAAACGAGTACCTATCGCGTAGCTAGCTTTGGAAAACAATGCAAACTCCATCGAAATCCCGCCCTCAGCTGCATAAACGGAAATCCATTAAAATTTCAGGGGGGCTAAATGTATTTAACATCAATGTGAGGGGTTGAACGGTTGACTCCCACAGCTAAAAAACTGTACTTTTTTTAAAGGGGCTAATGGGATATTTGGGAGGCTAAACGCTGGTTTCCGCCAATGCTATAATAGTTATAAATATTGTTTTTTAAATAATTTCAAATTTGTTACGTCTTGACGTCTTGTTAAGCTGACGTTGACATACTATAACTACAGGTACTTACAACCTGTTAAGTACCTACTCAGGGGTGTAATTAAGAGGGGGTGAGGGGGATAGATCCCCGGAGCCTTTATAATATTATATTACATACTCACCAATGTACTTGAAAATTTAATATTTTATGTGTAAAAAAATGTATATCCCCCCCCCCCCCATGACAAATTCATAATTATGCCACTGTGCCTGCCTACTTATAACCCAATGCCCACGCTGTTGACTGAGATATTCAGATTTTGGTCACCAATAGACGCATCCAATTATTCAAACCTTAATTCAAGGACAATTATATAAGATATTATAGGTACCTAATATTATCTTAGTCTAAGTACACGACTTTCGCATACTTTCGTAACTAGATGGCACTGCCGTATACGATTTGAGATGCTTGGTCAATTCTGAAATGTTAGAATGAATTGATAATATTATTATTTATCATCAATGGGTCAACTACGTGGCAATTAAAAGAATACATAAATGATAAAATATATTATTGTACTGTAATAGGTGACCCCAAAGCCTCGTGCACTTCGTTGACCGTAAAAAATGCCAACTTTTAATTTTTATAATATTAGATAAAATGTGTTCAGTTCATTATATAAATATAAGATACCTATAATTGTGTTCAAAAGTTTTTTAAAAAAAATAGAAAAAAAAATATTTAATTTTAAATCTGCGAATGGTAATTCATAATTTTTTTGCATACGGTTAACCGATTGTTAGCAGAAACGAACAAGACGTATTAGTTATGATTTTAATCTACGAGAGTAAAAAATATAGAGAACAAAATATATCAAAAATGGGTATAATTTAAAATAATATCCAGTCATAATCATAATTACAATTTTATTTTAGGTAACCAGGGACAACCATTTAAAACGAAAATAACTTAAATTTAAAAACCGTGAATAATTCTTAAGTGGTAAATGTCAACACTCATACAAAATTCCTGACCTCTGTAACTTACTTAATATGTTGTTATTCTATCTTGTATTATTAATTTTATATAATTATTATTATATTTTATTAGTTATATTAATATTGGTATAAGTTACATAATATTGTAATTTAGTAATGTACAGTAAAAATGAATATAAGTACCTACTCCCCAGATACCCAGGCACACGTGTCGTATGCTATCTACCAACAAATTGACGGTGTCGTATGCTATCTACCGTATCTACGTTATCTACCGTAATTCGTATTGACGTATATTTCTATATATTATATATATTTATAATTATTCCTTTAGGAATTTCAGAGTTATTTTGTATTTTAGAATTTAGTATGTATGTTCGTTGATCGCCGAGATCAAACGTTGTAGTTGTGTGTTTTTTATTAATTGTAAATTTATGGTTTTATAAAATGAGTAGGTACTTTGGGTGAATTATATAGAAAAATTATTTTTAATGACGAAACTTGTATACAATTTTTAAAAGATCGTGATTTATTACCTAATACAAATCTTTATACAAAATTAAATTCTATTGGAGAACAATGTAATGGTGAAATAAAAGAAACTTTAAAAAAAAGCAGGAAACGTGATGTAAACGGAGATATTATTATAACAAAATATTTACGATGTAAAAAAAAGGGTTGTCAAACATAGCAATTAATTCGTAAAGAAAATCCATTTTTTACTTACATCGACAACAAATAACAATGGAAAAAACAATGTAATGGTGAAATAAAAGAAACTTTAAAAAAAAGCAGGAAACGTGATGTAAACGGAGATATTATTATAACAAAATATTTACGATGTAAAAAAAAGGGTTGTCAAACATAGCAATTAATTCGTAAAGAAAATCCATTTTTTACTTACATCGACAACAAATAACAATGGAAAAAATAATAGTGGATTAAGTTTATGCGAAAGATTTGTAGATTTTTATATATGATTGATTTGGTAGATAGCATACGACACGTGTGCCGATACCCATTAGTACCCACCCAACTCGCCAGTCAAATCTGAGTTCAGGCATAATAAAACTCTTAATTTTATTTGTATTTGTTTTTATTAAATACAAAAATCTGAAGAGATCGTTAAATATATAATAAATGTTTTTCAATTTTCTGGATAATATTCATTTTTAAGTTTATTTCAACTGATTTTCTGAGGGGTGTTGATAGACACCCCCGAACCCCCCTGTGTGCGCCACTGCACGAAGCTAAAAAGAATTTCAGTATAGCCCAAACGACTATTGATATTTTGGTCAGCTTACTATCATGACGAAAAAAATTCGAAATGAACTCATCGTTAGGTTCGCTGGTTGTCGTTTGCGCATCACTATTGTTATTTTTGACCTTTTTTGTAAGACAGTTGCGCATCGTTTGATTTTTGGGTTATACATCGTTTGCGCATCGATCGTTTAAAAGGTTGTACATCATTTGCGCATCAATATTATTTAATAATAGAACTGAAAAAAAGTGTATACCCAAAAGCGCGTTGTTTTCTAACTTTAATCATAAAATTCAATCCTAAATGAACTGAACACAATTTAGTTGAATTCATTTTTACTCAAACTACCCTTATGTTATATGTATATTTTTTACTATAACTATGACTATGTAATGTGCCCAATTATTAATTGGCAATTAAACTGACTCAGTTAAAAATTTGTTTATATATTTCTTCAATAAATATAAATTATGTTAGAAAAATAAACAGTGAAAAATGTATATGTAGTTTTCAAATTGAAATGCAACATTAAAAACATGATCTTTTACCGGGACAGCTAGTTATATTTATTATATTTAGATATTTTACACTATAATCTAGTACAGTATTTCTCAATTTTTTTTGTCGTGAGGCTCCCTAAATTTAATGTAAAACTGTCAAGGCCCCCTTAATCAAAATTATTAAT